CATTTTTCTAAGATGGTCTGTATGTAAAATATTTTCTTTGAGTGTTTATATTTCCAGACTAACAGTTCTAGTGGGAAGCTAATAAAGGTTGTCCTTTCAATTACCTGTGGTTCAGAAAAATCAATGGCAAGATAGGCAATATAAAAGAGCGGTAAAACAGCTGGTGTTGGCAAAACTGGACAGCTACATGTAAGAGAATGAAACTGGATCATTGTCTAACCTCATAAACAAAAGTAAATTTGAAATGGATCAAAGACCTGAATATAAGTCATGAAACCATAAAACTCTTAGAAAAAAACAGGCAAAAATATCTTGGATATAAACATGAGCAACTTCTTCATGAACATATCTCCCTAGGCAAGGGAAACAAAAGAAAAAATGAACAAGTGGGACTATATCAAGCTGAAAAGCTTCTGTACAGCAAAGGACACCACCAATGGAATAAAAAGGCATCCTACAGTATGGGAGACTATATTCATAAACGACAGATCCGATAAAGGGTTGACATCCAAAATATATAAAGAGCTCATGCATCTCAACAAACAAAAAGCAAATAATCCAATAAAAAAATGGGCAGAGAGGCTGAACAGACAGTTCTCCAAAGAAGAAATTCAGATGGCCAATAGACACATGAAAAGATGCTCCACATCGCTAATCATCAGAGAAATGCAAATTAAAACCACAATGAGATATCACCTCACACCAGTTAGGATGGCCACCATTCAAAAGACAAACAACAACAAATGTTGGTGAGGTTGTGGAGAAAAGGGAACCATCCTACACTGCTGGTGGGAATGTAAATTAGTTCAACCATTGTGGAAAGCAGTATGGAGGTGCATCAAAATGCTCAAAACAGACCTACCATTTGACCCAGGAATTCCACTCCTAGGAATTTACCCTAAGAACGCAGCAATCAAGTTTGAGAAAGACAGATGCACTCCTATGTTTATCGCAGCACTATTTACAATAGCCAAGAATTGGAAGCAACCTAAATGTCCATCGGTAGATGAATGGATAAAGAAGATGTGGTACATATACACAATGGAATACTACTCAGCCATAAGAAGTGGAAAAATCCAACCATTTGCAGCAACATGGATGGAGCTGGAGAGTATTATGCTCAGTGAAATAAGCCAAGCGGNATCAAATGATTTCATTAATCTGTTGAGTATAAGAACAAAGAAAAAACTGAAGGAGCAAAACAGCAGCAGACTCACAGAACCCAAGAATGGACTAACAGTTACCAAAGGGAAAGGAACTGGGGAGGATGGGTGGGAAGCGGGGGATAAGGGAGGGAAAAAAGAAAGGGGGCCTTATGATTAGAATGTATAATGTGGGGGGGGTACATGGGGAGGGCTGTGCAATACAGAGAAGACAAGTAGTGATTCTACAGCATCTTACTACGCTGATGGACAGTGACTGTAATGGGGTTTGTGGAGGGGACTTGGTGATGGGGGGAGCCTAGTAAACATAATGTCTTTCATATAATTGTAGATTAATGGTACCAAAATAAAGAAAAAAAAGGGAGACCTACACATAAAGAAAAGACTGAAAGTAAATCTATATAATGTATTTTGCAGTTTTATGCTGAGATTATTGGTTGATTTTCCTCTGTTTACTTTTTGGTGGTATCATATTTTATCAATGGGAATATTTTACTTTAATGATGGAAATAAAAGTTTTTGAAAGAAAGAAAAAAAAGGAGCAGTAAATAGCAGGGGCTTTGGTTCAAATAGAACCAGATTTGGGTCCCTTATATTTATGAGCTGTGTGACCTTGGGCAAAGCACTTAATCTTACCAAGTCTGTAAAATGAGAACAAATTTAACATCTAACATTTGTTGACAACCTTTTATGTGCTGGGCACTATGCTAATTATGTCACATGCATTCATTATCTGATTTCACACTCAAAATAATCCCCTGAGGAAGGTACTATTACTATCCTCATTTTATAAATGAAGAAACTGAAACTCAGAAAGGTTGAGTAATTCGTCCAAAATCACAAAGGGGCAGAGCCTGTGACCCAATACCATGTCTGTCTTGCTCAAGAGCCACAAACCTAAACACCACATTATGTAGTGTCTCTGTAGCAGCACTCTTCTTGTAGGGCAAGTCGTGAAAATTAAATGAGCCAAGACATGTAAAGACCATGCCTAGCACTTAGTACTCTTTTTCTTATTACATGTTATTACATATTACCAGCGAAACTTTGTATAGCACTTCATTGTTTAAAAAGTCCATTAACATAGTAACATAAAAGTATCATGAAATTGTAGCTCTGAAAGGTTAAAAGACATGGCCAAAGTCATTTAGCTTTGGGTGCACTGATTTCAGAACTCAGATCTTTTAATTTCAGAACCCAGTAACTTCACCCTGCCTTTTAATCATTGAGGGGTGGCTGTATTTTTATATAATTTATTGAATTTATTATTAGAAAAGGTAGCTATTTTCAGATCAGGTAAGTTCACTCTTGCCTGCCTTTAAATTTCTGCTTTATCTTGGTAAATCTTGAAACTTGTTTCTCGATTTTCTGCTTGACTCTCTCCTTTGTGTCAGCCAACTCATCTTCCAGATATGTGGAGGAAAAAGAAGCCCCTTTTGTCTGACTCCCACATTTTTCCCCACGGTTACATATATACAGGTAGAGAGACACCAACTTGTGAATGGGCTGGGTTTTTTAACATTAATTTGTAAGTTGGTTGATTGGGAAGCTGAGCGTTTTCTCTCATAAAAACCATATTTAAATGGAACCTAAGCCCCATAATAACTCCATATCAAAGCATGTGCCAGATTCAGAGAAATAAGGAGAGAGAGTGTGGAGGGAGATGAAGTAAGGACCCTTCTTTAATTCCAGGCTTGCTCAGGTAATGCTTCAAGCTCTTTGCCTTTAGTATTTCTTCACCTTCTCACAGTTTATGTCATCTCTTAATGCCTCTGATCTTCTCTTGCTCTGTGCAACTCCTAAAATAGGCCTGCCTTACACCAAGTGTCTTTTAGATTTCAAAGCTATATACCTGCTCCCCCTAGTCTTTCCACCTTTCCCTCTAATCAAATGGCTATTTGAAATGAAGTGGTGCTTGGGGGGAAGTACCCTAGTGAAATAATTCACACTAAAGTATGAGAGGCTGATTCTCCTTATCTCATCTAGAAGTGTTTGCTTTTTAAAAAGATTATGAATTTTGCAAGTGGATTTGTTACTAAATTCTAGCAGTGAAACAAAATAGAGAGAAAAATAGCTATTATGTAGGAGGTATTTTGGAAGAGGTATGTCATAAAAATATGGGTTGACCAGCCCACCAGGAGTCTTTCTTGATCTAGCCCTTTGTGCCACCACCTTCTCTGGTACTCATATGCACACAGGTACCCAAACACACATCTCATTGGCTACCTTAGCTTCTAAATCCTTTCCTCATCAACTGGATAATTACTCAAATAATAGCATTTCAGAACTGGGGAGGTTCTGCCATTAGCTAATGTCATTAGCTCATTTTATAATTGAGGAAACAAAGCTCAGACAGAAGGGCCTAAGTCACCCAGGCAAGCAGGAGAACCAGTGCTGGAATCTAAGTCTTCTGCCCATGAATCTAGGGCATTTTCTTTTACACTCCATGCTTGGCATTCAGAAGTCTGGTAAGATAAACTTAGAAACACTCATGCATTGACCTTGTTCCCTTACGCATGTGGATCTTCTCTCTCTTTGAAGATGGCAAGTGGAAGCCATTAGTACCAGAGGTAAGATAGTCCAACCAGGTGTTCCTACCAACATGTCCTGACCCAGAAGCTGGGGATTTTCTGTCCTTGGCTAGGTAGGACTGTGGAGGAATTGGAAAACTGGGGCTGTTTGAGGGCCCTGGCACATGCTTTATTTGTTAGTTACTCATGGAGATGCCCTGCGAAGCTGTTAGGATTGTTATTGCTTCTCTCCTCTTATTGCTTCTTTTGTTGAACATTTAGATTGTCACTCTAATAATTGGAACCGCTCTTCACTCCCTTGTCAGTAGAGCACAGGAGTGGTATCATGCTGTCTGGAGAGGCAGGCTGCCTGGGGCCTTATCCAGCCAGCACTTTCTGGCTTAGCGAATTTAGCATGTACTGAATCTCTGTACCTCAGCTTCTTCACCTAGAAAATGGGAGCAGGAATAGTTTATACCTTATGGGGCTGTTTAATGTATATACATGCTTAATAAATGTTAGATGTTGTCATCATTATCAACACCTTGTAGGTGTTTTTCCTTTGCTTTTCTAATTTTTTTCGGGAAGGGAAGGCTTCCTGGTCTTAGCTACCTTCCTGCCTTGCTAGGCAATCTATAAATTGTGCAGTCATTAAAGGTTAAGTTGACCCTTTATGCAATTCTTGTCTGGGAGGCCTCATTGTGTATAGTGAGTCACCACCACTTAGAAGTCGACAGTGAGTCAGTAACCACTAAGGGGAGGTCAGAAGGTCTCCTGGCTCCAAGTGAGAGGATCCAAATTCAGCCCTTGAGGTGCAGAAAGCAGCAGTGCCCTTGTATGGCTGAGTGAATTTGAGGTACTATGGAGAACGTGGGCTATTCTGGTCAGAGGGCATAAAGAGGTGGGTAAATACTGTGGCTTCAGAATCACACAGACCTGAGTCTGATTTCAGCTGGGCCTCTATTTGCTGTGTGACCTCCAGCAAGTTAATTAACTTCTCTGTGCCTCTTTTTTTTTTTTATCATCTGTAAATGCAGATGATCATAATAGAAATGACTTCATGGCATAAATGCTTGGGAAAATGCTGAGAATCAAGTAAACACTCAATCAAAAGTAATTCTTAAAGTCATTATCATCATGAATAGAAATCAGGACAGACAGCTCCAGAGATCAGCTATAATAGAGAAGCAAACTAAGGGGAAAAGGTAGCAGGAACAAGGATGTGTGAGTTTAGGTAGTGACAAGCTATTCAGCTAGTATTAAATGTAAGAAGTCGTAATTTATTCCTTACTGTACCCCTACGAAGGAATGAATGATGTGTACTCACATAATTTGCATTTTGTAAAGGAAGATTCTGAGGCATTGAGTATAAGCAACCTTCTTACAAAAACGAGATGTGGTCTAGCTCCTCTTCGAGCTGAGCTTCCATTCAGATCCTGATGGTAGAGGGCTAGCCACCCTGACCTAGGCAGAGAAGAGCTTGTCAGGTCTGTGACTCTACAGTGCACTGACATATGAACGTCACATAACCACCTATGGTTCTTCGTGATCTCAGGCAGCCCTCCTGATTTCATGCCATCTGCAAAAGGGCACCTTCCTGCTCACGCTTTATGCCCCCTCTGCTGCCTCATTCACTCTGCGTGCCCGCTATCTGGGCTTCCATTTTTATTCTTCCTTTTTAATGCAGTGTTTTGTTTCTCTCTTTCTCTTTCTTCCTTTACACCCCCATCTCCCTCCTCCCTCCACACCTATCAAATTCCAGCTTGCTTCTTGCCGTATTCATTATTATCCTACCTCATTCCCCCTCATTCCTAGAAAACAGCTCACAGAGGCTCACCCTCCCCCTTCCAACTCACAGTGCCCACCCTCCATGAATTCCAGCAGCCTGGCAATCAGTAACTTTAGCATCACACGGCACAGCTCTCAGAGTTTACGCTACTTGTTACTACGCTCCTTGCTACTGCTCTCCAGGGTTTCTGCTTTAAAAAAATCCACTTCAAAAATATCGTTGGTACAAGTTGAACCCACAGTTAAGTTTACTGACACATTAACACATTTCATGGTTTTATTTAATTAGTAGGTCTATGCTCAATTATGCAGTGAAGAAAGACTAGATCCCTAAGAGACACATTTATTTTCTACCATAAAGAAGAAAACCACCTAAACATTCAACAGAAACCCCAGCCCTGAGTCCACCCACTCCCTTATCTCCCCACTCCTCCCACCCCAAGCTGATGGGACACTGCGTTTTCCTTTGTGGAGTCATTTACTTCACTCTTCCTGGAGCTCAGACCGCTTCCCAGTGTGTGCGTGCATGCACACGTGTGTGGCCACTGCTGTTTTTGCAAAGGGCTTACCTCTCTTCTGCCATTTTACCAGGACACAGGAGGCAGCTCTCCCTCTCTCCCTCTCTTTCTCTCTCCCTGCCCCCAACTCAGCCTGGGCTTTTTCCTGTCTCTTAACTCCACCAGTGCAGCAGCAACTAGCTGAGCTGCTTGCGTGCGTGCGTGCTTGCGCGCGCGTGTGTGTGTGTGTGTGTGTGTGTGTGTGTGTGTGTGTGTGTGTGCATGTGCAGCTAGGCCAAGCCTTCAAGTCTGCCTGTCATTGGAGAGTTTTAGTTCGCATTCAGAAGAAAGGAGGGGAGACAAGAGGGGAGGAGGAAAAGTGGAGGGGGGCGGAGTGGGGGGGCACGGAGAAGGGAGGGAGAATGTCTTGTTTGTGGCTTGTCAGCAATTGCTTGAGACAAGCTTCCATGTGTGAAAGCTACTTGGCATGAATGCCTGGGCCGTACCAAGTGTCACCGCAGCAAGAGGGGGAGTCAGAAGAAAAACAGATCAGACCAGAGCAGACAATAGGCCCCTAAAGTGTTCCCCCTAAGTTGCTTTGATGTTGTCCTAGTGTCTTGATACAAGGAGGCCAGGGATTGCAGGAAAAGGGTCTTTTTTGTCTTCATTCACTTTCCCCCCTCAGTTTCTGAAATGATTCTCCAGAATTTCTCCTCATAAAAAAGGTAAGAGCCCTAACGATTCCTTCTCCTGGGGCAGGCTTGTTCGCCCGTGCCGGGAAGTGGGGTTCTCGTTCCTACGCCGCCCGGGAGGAGCGCTGGGGTCCTGCGATTGGAACTCCGCCTGGTCCCTGGAAGTCTTTCCCGGCGCTCGGCGCTGGGGATGGCCCCTGTTTCTCGGGAACCCCAGTAACACGATCTGTGCCTCTGGGTTGGTGGGGGAGAAGGGGTGGATGGAGATGGGCGGGAAGAAGGTGTGAGGGCGGAGGGTGTGAGGGGAAGAAGAGAGAGAGAGAGAGAGAGAGAGAGAGAGAGAGAGAGGAGCCTGAAAGAGGGGGCGAGAAGGGCAGAGCCCTGGTGTTGAGCAGCCCCAGCCCGGAGCCCGAGGAGGCCTTGCAAGCTTGGAGCCGAGCGCGTCGGGCTGAGCGAGGGCTGCCTGGGGCTCTGCTGAGCGCCTGCAGAGATTGCGTCGCGCTTTGTGTGTGCGTGTGCCCCTGGGTCTGTGCGTGTGTGTGAGTGAGTGAGTGTGTGTGTGTGTGTGTGTGTGTGTGTGTGGACTTCCCATACACTGCCCTGGAATACCTCGTGTACAGGAGAGGTACCCCGATCCTCGTCACCCGGGCCCAGACTCTCCGCGGGAGAGCGGCGTGGCGGACAGGAAGGGAGAGCAGAACTCTGCCGCCACACAAGCCAGAAAACTTTTCCAGTCTCAGGGATTTCTCTGGTGGCAGATACTGTAAAGGAGTTGTGGGGCACCTTGTGCCTCAGTCTCCCCATCTGCGAAATCCAGAGAGCTGGTCGGGAAGGCTGCACGCCTTCCAGGGATTTGGTGAAGCAGAATAGATCATTACATCTAAGAGGCGTGGAGGAATCTTCAAGATAGAAATGCTGTGGAATCACAAAGTAGAAGGGTTATCATTATTCTTGATTATCATCGTCATGATAATAAAAACCATCATCAAAGACACCCCTAGACAAATAGACCCGGGAACGCAGATCAAATATCCGAGTATTTCTAAGGAAACAAAAAGCCTTTTTCCACCTGTTGGCTTCTGTCCTTTTCTCTTGTGTCTTTTTGTTAGATTTATTGGGCTATTTGTACAGAGAACGGGGTGGGAGGCGCTGGGCTTTTCCCTTCCCTCCTCCCTTGTACATATTTTTTATTCTTAAAGACAGTCAATGTAAGATGTTTGAAGAGAAAATATGCCTGCTGTCGTTCATTTAAGATCTGTGTTTTCTGGTTGCTGGCAGGGTACGCAGACACATCGGTAAACCCTACCTTGGAGGTTAAAGATTTTTACTGTGTCTTTTAGAGACTAAATGAGATTTATTTGCAGTTTATCAGAGAATAAATTTCACTGAGTTTGTGAGACTAAGGATGTGAAGGCTGTTTACTGATGGTTTTGTGGATAAAACCTTTGGCTTTTTGAAGTGACATTTGGAGAGATGGGAGTAAAAGGCTAAAATCAGTGCCTAATATTCATCTTTAAATTTCTTTAAAGAAAAACTGCATCTGCTTGTTTTCTTCAATTGTGGATATCCTTTCTTCTCTTCTTATCTGGTGATGGTTTGAAAGCTCTCAGTTGTGGCTCTCTTTGAATTCTCTGGGGGAAATTTCACTCTCTTACCTAATCCTAAGCTTTCTGTGACTCTGCTACTTGTCCAGAAAAATCTGTGAAAGTCTGGGAGGCTCTGCCTCCTTTCATTCTCACTGCAAATGTTTATCAGACTGACTCCCTGTGATAGCTAGAGATGTAAGCAAAGGGCCAGTCCTGGTTGAGAATATTTATGTTCTTACTATAGAGGCCTGGAGAACCTGACTTCTGGTGCAGGAAAGTATGAGGGAGAGATATTAATTGGCCTAGACCTGGCAAGAAGCACCCTCCCATATAATGTTTCCCTGTAATAGAACTGAACATATGTGAAAGCTTGTTTTCTACTTTGTTAAGCAGAAGGTCTTACCATGGTTTGTCTCTTGCAAGGTTTCAGGGGTCAATATCTTCCTAAAGTGTTAGAATTTCAGATGTGCATGGGAAAAGAGAGGTTATTCATCAAGTTTTAAATGAGGACACTTGAAGCCCAGGAAAGATCAGCAATAATCTGAGGGGGCTTGATGAAGTTCTGGTAGCATCCGGACTGCACCCTGTGTCCTGAGGGTCATCATGCCAGCCACTCTAATATGTCCTTCATATTTGATTTTGTATGGTCTGCACTTGGGCCAGCCAAAGAGAGGCACCTTTTGGGATTCTGCTGGCTGTGCTGGATTATAGCAGCACACTCAGGCCTGCTCATGGTGCATGGCACAAACATGGCAAATGCGTCACAACATGAGTTTGCATAAATTCATTCATCTATTCATTTGTATATTCGACTCGTATTTTAGGGGTGTTTGCCTTGCTCAGGCACCTTGCTAGGCACTGAGGACATAGGAAAGAACAAGGCATATGTGCCCTTGTTCTCAGGGAACTTGTGGTCTTGATGTGTTATAATCAACATTAACCACCTCATCAAACAAATTAGTGATTATGATATTGATAATCTATATTGAACGGCATGCAGATACTATAATGCAGGGCATAAAATTGTATAAGTAATCAACCTGAAGTTTGTAAATAGACACTTTTCTCTTTGTGGCTGAGTTCTTGTCCCAGACAACTCCCATTCCACTGGTGGCATTCCTACTCACACAGAGTTCAGCATTTCCTCTCTTTTTTCTTCTCTCCCCACACAATGCAACACAGATACAAATAATACTTGCTAATGCTTTACAGGTGTGCTATTAAAACTTCACACTCACTGTACACCAGCCTACCTAACAGTCATTATCTGGGTGATTCACATCAGCCTCTGCATGCTGTTAAAACCCTAATGGGCACTGGAGAAGACATGTTAGTGAGGCTCTTGTCTCACTTTATTTATTCCATAGTTTTTCCAGCTGATACTAAAAACTTAGCTGCAGGAAACTCCGCCATTATCACTGACATCTTGGAATTCCAAAAACAATAGTATAATGAAGGGGCTTTTCCCATCCCTCCCAAAAAGGACACATATCTATGAAAGGGGAAAATGTTTAAAAACCTCTTTAATGGGTCCCATTTGGGTTGGGTTATTAAAATTTTACTGGTTTGATGAGGTCAAAGGTAGGAGCATCACCCACCCTCCATTTATGGTCTTACTTGGAGAGAATATATAGTTGAAATGACAGTCATTTCCATGAAGGCAGATCTGTGTTGATGCTTATATCCCCATTTTCTACATTGTGTCTTTCTGTGTCTTTTCACTCAAAGGAGTACTGTGTTCAGTGTTGTCAATCCAACATTTTAGATTAATGTAGTAGTTTTAAAGGAAGACAGACATGCCCACCCACACATAAATCATAGGTTTATGTGCCTATACTTTGGGAACCCACACTGGTTGTGTGATTAAATCGAGCGATGAGCAAAATAATAGTCATTTCTATGCATTCAAGGTTGTTAGGCAGTGAACGCAGCAAAATACCCAGCCCACCTTGTAGTGACAGCCTGCCCAGAGCTTGCCATCCTCATCTGCGTTTGGCACCCGGGGTGGGTGCCTTCTCTGGTGAGCTGTACTGCTTCATTGGCAAGTCTATGATCACTTCCAACACTCCCCCCACTCAGTTTGTCACTCACTGGGGAGCTGCCTCTGGAGGAGGCAGCAACTGAATGGGCCTTGGAAGAGCGATCTAGGGCGGAGGAGCCTGTGTGCAGAGCTAAGATGAGGAAAAAACATGGATCTGGTTGGGGGAAGGATTTAACAGAACTGGGGAGCCAGACAGCAGTGATTCAGGTCATCCTTGACTCCAGGGGAATAAAAATGAAGACCTGATGACATTTAAAAAGATGCAATGTGTGGGGACTGTGTATAAATAGAAGTTCCAGACCTTTTAGTCCTACTGCAGGTAAAACTCACACAACATGCAGGACATTCCCCAAACTCCTTGGTTAAAAATACTGCTTGTGCATGTAATTTTACTGAAGGGACTTTTGTGGATTTTCTCCCTGCATGAGACATAAATATAAGATGGAAAATGGAAAAAAATCCCCATTTCTTTTAAGCCTTGACATTTTAATGTACTTTAAAATGATATCTGCTTAGTCCTTTCTTATAATAGCCCTATGAATTAAGTAATATTGTTATATTTGTGTAAGGTTATGTGACTCACCCAAGGACTCACCAAAAAGAAGGCGTGAGATGGCTAGCTGATTAAATCTCCCCATTAGGTCAAATCTCTTCAAGAGATGAGAAGCAAAGAAGTGAATCAAGCACCATAATATTCTGGTCAAAGGTACTGCGTTGATGTGGTAAAGTAATTGCCATAGTTTTGGCATCTTTTTTTAAACACTAAGATTTAGAGTGTTGATCAAAAAAGAGGAACCCCATTCTAATCTAGTAATTATGTATTTTTTTATAAAGTACATTGGACCAGTTTCTGGCTTGGGTTTTGCCAGTCTATGATCTAGGCCTCCCCATTCTATTTCTCTGGACCTGGACCTGTTTTAGAAAGGGGATTAGACTAAGTCATAA